CCATGCTAGCAGGGGGATTCTGAGAGCTGAAGCCCCCACATTATAGTTGCCAAGATTGGGACACTCTGCTTTGGATAGTGGATAGTTTCTAACTAAAGAGTTACAAAAATCCCCTCCAAAAACTGATTGGTAATAATTGAGAGCCAGAGTAGTGTACTGGACTGTGCTGGAGTAATGCCAGGGAGACCCAGGTTCTCATCTACCCTCAGCCACAGAAGCTCAGGTTGGTGTCGTGATTAAGGTGCTGGCCTAGAAACCAGGAGATCGTGAGTTCTAGTCCTATCTTAGGCATGAAAGCTGGCCAAGTGATTTTGGGTTATCGTCCTTTCTCAGTCCAGCCCACCTCACAGGATTATTGTGGGGAAAATAGGAGGAGGAAAGAGTATTAGATATATTCACCATCTTGAATATACTTATAAATTTATTTATAAAGTAATAAAAGCAGGATAAAAATCTAATAAATAAGAAAAAAAGGATACATTCCTGACCACACCGGTTATTTATGCTGTGCTCAGGAGGGAAAGAGTCACATAATTATTTTTGTAAATATGTTATTGTTGTGGCCCTTCTGCTTTTGCAACCGTACTTTCCCGAACATTTCACTAATCTCATTCTGCTCTCATCCTGCTTTCTATTTCTAATCCTCCTTTTGTGATAATATACAATCCATTTCTATTAATCTTGTGCTTGTTATTTCCATATCGTATGTCAACTATGAGCAATGCCACAGTTCCCTATGAAATGACTCCACCAGCATAAATTATTGAATTGATTCATGACTCCAAGTAATAACATTAAAACATACATGCACTCTCTCTCAAACACACATATATACACATAAAACACACAACACACCAAGTTTGAAGCAACCCTTCACTTTATTGTAATCCAAATATGTGCCCTGTGTGCGCTTGTGTGTATGTTTATGTGTATGTGTGTGGACAGTGTTCAGTTATGTTGGTCTCAGGAAACTGTGCAGACAATGGCATTCAGTCTGCTATACAAGTTTACATGCTGATCACCCAACCATATCTTAACTATTTATTTGCTGGTGTAGTGGGTCATAAAATTAGCTCTCAGAAAGCTGATCTGTCAGGTATGCCCTGAATAAATTAGCATGCCTATGAAGTATTTTGCAAACTGGCAATTTTATATCACAATGGGGGTCTGCTTTTATTAACAATTTTTCATTTGAGGGGGAGGAGAGAGAGAAGAAAAAAAACCCTTTGCTTTCCACGGAATGCAAGAGAATATACATTTTAATTTCTTCTATTTAAAAAAAAAACTCTTTCCATTTCATCTAAATAAATTTTGATTTGGTCAACAGGGACATCTATGAATCTATTGTGCCACATAAAAATAAGAATCATTTGGTTCGGGAAGAAATGGGAGGAGACAACTAAATATTGCTATTGTTAATCACTGCTCATAAAATATTAGGACAGTGAATCACTGGAACCACATCCCGTAAAGGACCCTCAACTACTGACTAGCCACAATTACCGGGAGTCGACGTGGGACTCAGGTAGTCGAGGAGGTCCTACCAGTAATTAGGTATCCTTTGGAGAGTCCATAACTAGTTATATCGAATTAATTATTTACACCACACAGAACACTAGAGTCTAAATCACTACGTCTTTCTTTTTTTTTTCCTGCTAGTTTTAAGGTTGAGATTTTAAAACCTCTCTCAAAAGCATTTTCAATGGAAGGATTGTGGTTGAGCTTTCTCTCGGGCTTCATTCATGGAGAATTTCAGCAACAGAGCTTCCTGTGGGAATGGAAGAAGGAAACGATGGTGATGGGCGAGGTTCATGTCCTTCAAGGAGGCAATGGGATATGGGCAAGAATATCTGCAGACCCCTAACATCCTGGACTTAAACTGTTTCAACTCCTTCCCTCAAGAGGGTGCTATAGCCATTGTATGCCAAAACAACTGGACCCTGGGACAATTTTTGTCCCTCCTGCCATCACTGTGCTGAACACCTAATTCAGTGCTGCCTAATGTCTATTAATCCATGTAGTGTGACTGTAGTATTATTATTTATCCTTATTATTTTCTTTGCTCCTCCTTTTATTGGTATTATTATTATTCCTTGTGTATCTAATCACCCTAGTCCAAATAAAATGCTCAATTCAATTCAATATGGGCAAGAATTGCCGTTTGCCAGATAGAACAGGGAAAGGCTGCATTTGTTGAAATTCTAGCTTCAACTCCAACTTTTACCAGCCTGGCATATAAAATGTGCTTTAGCTTCAATTTCGCAAATTTCCAGCAGGCACGGCAAAACGAAGTATTGTCTGCAAATTCTAGGAAGTGCCACAAGAATATAAATAGAGCGTGCAGCCACGTGGTGCATTCAGCAAAGTACCTTACTCTTTTTTCTTTTTTTTTTGCAATCATATGTCTCCCTGCCTATCCAAAAATCAGAATGTTGAATTATTCAGTATGTGTGAGGGGGTGGAAAAAATATACTATTCTCTGAGATTTGAATAGCCAAAACAATTTTCTATATATTTGTTAGATCACTGTCATAATTGCCCTCCAGGAAAACATATGAAAAATTGGGTAGTTGGGTAGCAACAGGCTTTAAGAAGCAGCTGCATCTACTTACTGTCTTTTATATTAAAAATATAACTGATTCCATGGCTATGATGTAATACATATTTTTTTTTAAAAAAAATCCTCTTCCGTCAAAGATTGCTGCAAGTATAGAGTGTTGAATGAGGGGGTCAAACCATTGATACTCAACTAAAAATAGCTGGAAGATTAAATTTAAATTTTTAATTTAAGAAGGAAGAAATAAGAGAAATAGCAATGATTGGGAGTCATATAGTATACAAATTTATTACGATGATGATTCATCAGCCAGATGTTCAGACTGGATTTGGCATTTTTTAATCTATTATTACTATATAATCTAACATTTAATTTAACAGTTATTTTTTTCTTATTTTTAAATAGAACCAAATAGCAGTTTTGGTCACAAATTTTCATTTGATGCTCCCTCATTCCAGGTTTCTCTTTCTGGTCATTCCTCACTCCAATTGTTATTTTAAAAGCAAAAAAAAAAAAAAAAAACCCAAGAGAAACTCCAAGTCCACTTTAAAAGTATGCAAGTAGGTTTCTTTTAGCCTTGTCTGAAGAGGTACTTTATCAATGGCCTCATCCCACAGAAATAATAACTAGATGCAGCAGGGGACATCCGAGGAGATAGAAATTGTCATCTCATCTTCACTAAAAGTATACACTTCGTAAGTACACAACGTTAACACTCTTTTCTACGTATAAAGTTCTAAAGAAGAAAATGTGTTTGTATGTCTTACTTAGTGTTCAACGACTTTGTCACCTTCATTATTATTATTATTATTATTATTATTATTATTATTATTATTATTATTATTTAATAATAATAATAATAATAATAATAATAATAATAATAAGGTTGGAAGGGACCTTGGAGGTCATCAAGTCCAACCCCCTGCTCAGGCAGGTAGCCCTATACCATCTCAGACAAATGGCTGTCCAGTCTCTTCTTAAAAACTTCCAGTGTTGGGCTCCCTCTTCTTTGTGGCAGCCCCTGAGATATTGGAACACTGCTATCATGTCCCCCCTCGTCCTTCTCTTCGTTAAACTACTAGACATACCCAATTCCAGCAACCGTTCCTTATATGCTTTAGCCTCCAGTCCCCTAATCATCTTTGTTGCTCTTCTCTGTACTATAGCTAATATACCAGCATTACATACAAATCAGATCTGTAATTAAATTCATATTGTTACAGATGAAGGAATCTGATTGTATCCTTACCTAACAGCCATAGCTTTGGTTAACTTAAAAACAGTAAAACTTCTCATTCTCCAGACTTTTTTGCCTCATCCTCTTCTTCTGCAGGATAAAATCAGAAATATTGGAGAAGACAATTATTGCTCATCTGAAAGCACAGCCTTAGGAATATTTATTCCGAAATTCCATTGATCTTGTGTATGATTGTTTCTGAGTATGATTGAATTGCAGCATTTATTTTGTATTAATATAAATTACTATTTAAACATTGACAAATGATGTGTTGCTTCTTGTCATACATTTTTGCAGTGTGTTACTCCATGGAATAGCAATAATGACCAAGATTTGTCTACAGCATTTTCTCAGGTTTGTACAATATATAGTAAAATGAAGATACATGTGTATTGATCTTTGTAAACATCTTATTAACAAACTCGTGAAAACTGGGCAATAGTGGGACAAGATCATATCATGTTTTTAAGTTTTCCTCAAAATAGACACATTGAGAGACAACCCTTTTAAAATATTCTATGGTGTTTCCAATAAACATGAAATAAAATAGTAAATTGATCATATTAAGATCATAAGGAATATACTTAATATTATTTAGGACCCTTAGCCATATTGATTCATTAATATGGAATATTTCAATTCTTTATTCTAGAGTTCATACAAATAACTAATATCCACCTTCAAGTCCCACGAACCCCCAGTCAGCCTTGCATATCTTAAAGTTGTCAAGGCTGAAAAACACTGATTTAGTTTATCACATTTGTCATTTTCTCTTCAATCAACAGCAGTTCTGTATTGAAAAGGGTTCCTTATTTTCAGCCAACTAATTCTCCACATAGATTTACATGTAAAATCTGAAATCCCCATTTTTTTTTCCCTTATCTGGTACGATTACTTTGTGAGTCCTTCAGGTCATGTAGTCAGTAAAAAAAAAAAAATTGGCATTTATGCAACATATCCCAACCAATAATACTGTTTCCAAATACAGATAAGATATTGACAAGATATCTCGGTCCACTGTAGATTCTAGAGATATTTGATCTCAGTTGTGAAAACCAAGTGTTGGAAGCAAAGTACAGTTCATGTTACTAATTCAAAGAAGCAATAAATTATTCATTACATTATTAATTCGACAGCCCTCCAGCTATTTTTCCTTTTCAGAGAGCCTGCAATGAGTATACTTTTGCTGTTTTCGCTTCTCTGAGGATGCCCCAGATGCTTCTCAAACACTTTTTCACCGTAATTTTCTTGAGCACAGCAAATGGAATAAATGCCAAGACAGGTAAATTAAGGGGCTTCAGGGTGTGTGGAAGCAGCATTCTCAATTTTGTTTGCAAAGTCGTTAATTTTTAGATAGAACGTCTTTACGTTTCTTTTCCATGCCCATCTGAGAGATTTCCTACGGAAAATTAGCTGCCGCTGAGGGAATTATTGTGCATACTAATGACACACTTTGGGCAATGTATTTCAGCAGTCTGTTTGCAGTCTGTTTGTACATTTTTTTAAGCTTGAGATTACAAACGTGTATAACCCAGCCTAGAGACCTAAGTGTGATCAATTGTCCAATGGAAGCGGATCCAAATATTCACTCCCTATTGGAATGAATAGGAAACATGCATGCCACCTCATGGCTGTGACAGACTAAAAATTTCTTCCCCTATTCCTCCTGTGAAGATTAGGTATGACAGGAGAGGAGAACATTTGTACAGGCGATCCTCGACACAACTGAGCCCAAAATTTCCATTGCTAAACAAGACAGTTGTCAAAAGAGTTTTGCCCCATTTTATGAACTTTCTTGCCACGGTTGTTAAGTGAATCACTGCAGTTGTCATTAGGAACACGGTTGTTAAGTGAATCCGGCTTCCCTATTGAATTTGCTTGTAAGAAGGCTGCAAGTGGCGTCACCTGATTCCGAGACCCTGCAGCTATCATCGATACAGGCCAGCTGCCAAGCATCTGAATGTTGATCATGTGACCGTGGAGGAATGCGGCAATGGTCATAAGTGTAAAAAATGGTCATAAGTCACTTTTTCAGTGCCATTGTAACTTTGAACAATCATTAAATGAACGGTGGTAAGTAAAGGACTACTTTATTATTTCATACTATTTCATTGATAGTTAATATACTTAGTATATTACTTATGTTATTTGCGTTTAAAATAGTCTAAGCATGTGATTTTGTTTTACTAATTTTCCATTGATTTCTTAGGATGTACTATCTGTAGGCAAGTCTATTTGAGTAAAATTAAGGACAGTGGTTAAACATTTGCAATATGCAAAGAAATACTGCGGGGGAAAATCCCTATCTTGATTATGAACTCACAACAAAATTCTGTCCTAAACTCTGTTGAAGTACCGATCACTTCCTTTGATTAAAAAAAGATATTCATTTCTGAAGAAACAGATGTCTTTTTCACCTTGCCAACTCCCAGAATCTTTTACTGAGAGTTTAACACAATGTTACTGACAATTAAATTGGCTTCCCAGATTAGACTTTGTTTGAAAGAGTCAGATTTGTAAAAAAATAACTGTCAAAACAGTTATCCTTCCATGACCTAACCAGAGAAGAGAATTATTCTTATTTTCAAGCATAAATGGCAACCAGGAAGCAATAGCAATAGCACTTAGACTTATTTACCGCTTCACAGTGCTTTATAGCCCTCTCTAAGTGGTTTACAGAGTCACCATATTGCCCCCAACAATCTGGGTCCTCTGGAAAGAAGGAAAGAAGGAAGGAAGGAGCTAGAAAAATACAATTTTAAAAGTATGTTTTCCATAGAGAATAAATAATTTCATAAAGTCAGAGAACATGATCTCCTGGAGAAACACATCTATGAAGCTGAGATTTAAATAAGATTTTTTTCTAATGTGGAATCTTCCAATTTATGTAGAAGGTAAAGGAATAATAAGGAAACCACTAAGATATTGAAAGTGTTATAATAATAGGTGACTTTAATTACTCTCATATAGACATGGTATAGGCATGTTCTGGTGAAGAAAAAATGTCTGCTGGTTATGGACACAGTCATGGAGAAAGCAATTTTATTCATGTCAAAATAAATGCCCATATTGGCAAAACGAAATGCAAGTGGATCATAATGTAAGCAAAGAAGAAGAATTCAAGATACAAGTATTAAAGACCAATCATATTACTCTGAAACAGAAAACTATCAGGCAGCTGGTCTACTGAATAATGTAAATTCTAAGGGAAGTAAATTATACTTCTGAAAAGATTAAATATTTTTTTAATCTGTCCTTGTTGCACAATATATAGGATATATCCAAGGACCATAAGCCCAATCTGATGAAGATGATATTATCCATTCAGTCGTATCTGACTCATGGTGAATCTTTGGACCAAGTGTCTCCACATCTTTCAATCTTCCACTACTACTTTGAGTTTTTCTATGCTGTGGCTGGTGTCAGTTTTGATGGTGTCCAGCCACCATGTACTTTGGTGGCCCGACTTCCGTTTATCGAGTCTAAACTAATTGCTTTCTCCAGCCAAAGACTGTGTGGGGATTTGGATCTGAAATTCTGTCTTTGTGCAGCTGACATTCATAGGGACAACTACATCGAGGAGAAACAAAACAAAGAAGGAATCTCTGAAATTACACAATCATAACAAACAGTCAGTGGCAACCTCCGGAGTTAATGTGCCTGACACGATACTATCCATAAAGTAGAATACATGCTTTCTTCTAAAGTCTTACACACGCACCAAACTACTACCCCAACTTAGAGATAATAAAACCAAGTTGGTCTACCATGGATATAACCTACCATGTAGTTCTTGTGCTACAACTCCCCATATAGTATCCCATAGATCCCAATACTTTGGGAATCTACATGAATATATCAGCTCAGAGAATTTTCTGTTGACATTAGGTTCTCTTGATGTGACAGGATTGTAGATTTGTGTATAGCACTTGTTTGAATAAAATTAAAAGAACGGATGACCCTTAGATACAATTAGACTTTTATAATGAAAGACATGATTTAGAATTAATATAGCATTTTTGTTCTTTTTCTTTTGATATGGGAAATATGAAGATAAGAGGAGGATTGATGTGAATAAAACTTTTAGCTATATAAATGTAATTAATATTGAGAAAATCATAACTGATAAAGATATTTCAAATACTGATGGGAAATCAAACCTTAACAAGAGCACAAAAAACAGGATATTGATTAATGAATTGACATTATTGATTTATGAATTGATATTATTGTTATTTCTATGATATTAATAAAATATGATGAAGATGCTTATATCTAACTTTGTATACATTAACAGTACCACAAATTGTAACGGTGTAATGAGGGGAAAATGGAAAAAATATGGAGAAGAAAGGAGGATCAGGGAAAAAATACTGGATTGTGTAGTGTTGAACAGATTTATATTGAAGAAGATAATGTTAAATATTTGAACCCAGGCAACATGTTGTTTACTAAGCACTAAATACTGTAATTCTTAAAAATTAATAAAACTTTTATAAAAAAGAAAGAATTCAGGCTGGTCCAAGTTGATATGAAGATAGTCCACTGTGACAGATCCAGAGAGAGATTTGATAAACAGAGCCCTCTTGTTCTACACTTTAGCATAAAGCCCCCCCCCTCCAAGTTCTATATTTGTTGAATAAAATTTTAATGGGAACTGAGCTATACAGTTAAAAACTAAACCACCTAGAGTATATTGGAGTCTAATAGCTAATTTGGTTTTTAGATTTCATGTAACTGCTGCCAAAAGTTTAGAATCAAACAAGGTACAATTATTTAATGGCACTAGAAGGAAATACTTGACCTGCATTTGAGTATTTTTATGGCTGCGATCATAGCAAATCTTTCAGGGTGAATTCCTACTGAACTTGGTGAGAGTCATTTCTAATTAAATATGAATATGGCCCTTTTGTGCATGCTGCAAAACAAAACTTACAGTCCAATGGGTAATTTCAAGAAATGTTAGGGATGTAAACACATATTGAGGATATTGTCTATTATTGGACTAATGGTTAAGCCTGGAAATGCAATTATCATTTTGACTTCTATAACTAAATTATTTTGTAATGATACATTACTAACTAGGAGTTTTCTAAGTATGTCGACTAATCAAAAAAGGTAACCCCTAGTTGTTAATTCTGTTATATGTGCTCAGTAATTCAATTTTATATACCACACGGTGGAATTTGTTTGCAATGTGTGTATGTGCACTGCTTTTTTTCCTTAAAAAAACAATTCTAAGATATAAACAGAATAGAAATGATCTTTAATTAAAACAATTAAATGAAACAATCAAGAATAAACCTACCTACTCTAAAATAACTACCTATTTGCTGTAAT